TGCTCATGCTGCTCTCAATCATTTCCTCTCCTTCAAGGTGCTTTTCGTGCTTGTTTCTATTGATCGAAAAATTTGCATTCATGTCTCAAATCACCAACCTGTTTTATCCTAGGAATAAAGATGTCTAGTTAAAGACTAGTGTGTTTATCTTGAATCTAATGACTCTTTCATGAAGATATCTTTGACAGCATATCGTTGTGCACAAGAGAATAACATAGAAGGGGTGGTGTGTGCACAGACATCAAGTATAGAAAGTAAAGTGTCATACTTCTAGGTTTTATCTCTTATTTATAGAATTTATCCCCGTGCAATAAAATTTTGGCCATTTAGTAACTTTTTGGGACCCAATACATAATTCATATCAGTTAAGGATTCTTACCTTAATGTTCTTATCACTCATATTTTCGATCTCATTATGAGACAATTTTTATTTCCAGGTGAAATATTCCCCCGGATCAAATAATTTATATTTATATATATTTTTCAAATTTAAAAAGTAATAAGGCGTACTATAATCAATTTAGTAGTTCACTGTCTAAAGATTAGGAATCAGATTTTTAGAAGAACTTTGTTATTTTTTTATTATTTTCTTTTGAATATTACACAAATCGAACTTGTAACCTAATACACACTACACACCCAACGCCACTAGACTAATCCTAGAGGTGCAGGTTGTTGGTTAAAATAATTCTGAACTGTTATTTCTTACCAATGACTTTTGTGAATCACAGCCGTGACAATGGAATTACACACTTCACCTATTTTTTTTCAGCGAACCAGATATTTAAAATAAAACAAAATCATCTTAACCCCCTTCCGCTATTTGTAATTATTTTACAAATTAAGTTCGTATTATTCAGTATTTCTCATTTTGGAAACATATCCAGTTTTGAATTTTACACTAATTTCTCTTTTTTTAAATTTTATAATGAAAATACTTCTGCTGTTTAGTTTTGTCTAAATACATAGATGAGTTTGAAATCTCTCTATAAGTAAATAGTATTAATAAGTATCAAATAAGCAGACCAAAAAATTTATTACAATATTTTCAAATAAAATAATTTTCAAGATTCGTTTTAGTAGGTCAACCTTCATTAATCCTTGTTGCATGACTCAATAATTACAAAATTACTCTAGATTTATTTTAAAAAAATGAATACTTTTTCGTATGTAAAACATTTTGCTTAAAATAATTTTGGAAATGTAATAAAATAAAGTATTCATATATCTTGTAGAGAGGTTATGGATCTCTTTATTGAATATATTGAAAAATTCCATCCCTACAAAGTGCCCAATATATAATAAAATTGGATCCTAAGTTTTCAAGTTGAGATAATCTCGAATTATACCTTTTTTTAATTAATGTATGTCGTTTACCATTATTTAATACGTTTTTTTTGGGTTTTTTTTTTTAAAATCTCATACTATGAATTACTTTTAAACTTTTGTTTTTATCTTAATTTTTTTTTCTTTCTAAATACCAACTCACTTTTATGTGAAAACTTTTCACCCATCCGAAAATTGCTTCAAGTCAAACATGCTTAACTATAGAGTTTTTTCATTGTGGCCTATCGAAAAGTAAATGTATATTGTTAGTATAAGTAGTACCAATTAATTCTTATAAGTTATCCCGAACTATGCAGTCTTATTATCTGCATAGTCTTTGGATGTTGATTTGATTCATTCATTATCCTTCGCTGAAAGCTTGTCAAGAGCTTCTCCTTATTTGTGCCTTTTCATACTAGCGATCACTCTCTGCCCATGTCAGCACCCGATACAAAAGTAACTGCTTTCAACATTTTCTTTGTATATTAAATTTATTCCCCCCCCCCCCCCCCCCCATGAAAAAAAAATTAACTACTTACGCTCTCAAATTAATACTTTTTCAAATTCTCCTTTTCACATTAAAATTTGTTCCTTTTCACATTTAAAATGTGTTTCTCTTCTTTACATCACCACGACTATTTGTTTTTCAAAAAAAAAAATTCAACCAATTATTCGGATACTCAGCTAATTTAGTTCAAGTAAATGCCGAAATTTTTAAACAAAGCGACCCTCCCAATAATTATTTTTTTTCCATTTTTATGACTCATACTCGAGGTCTTTAATTAAGGAAAAAAAAGTTTCTTATAATTTATAATTTTATTTTTAAAATTTTACTTTTGCTTAAAGACACTTAGTACTCGTTTGGACGAGCTTTTATTCCTAAAAATTTGTTTTTTTTTAAATAAAAGTTTTTTTGAGAATTTTTAGATGTTTGGATAACAACTTTTTAAAAAAATAAAATTTAAAATAAAAGTTACAATATTACTTTTTTTAGCTAGTAGATGGTTGCTTTTGAAAAAAAAACAAAAATTAAAAGATAATATAATTTTTTAAAATACAATTTTAACCTCATCTTATCATACTTATTTTATCTCTCGTTATCCTACGATCGTGCTATTTTATCTTTTCTTTATTATAATTTTATTTATAAAAAATGTTTTTTTTATTTTAACATTCAAATAACTATTTTATGTAAAAGTAATTTTTAGATCATACATCTAAACTTAAAATAACTTTATTTTTTAAAAAAATTCTTTTAAAATAATGCTTAAATTCTTTTTTTTTTTAAAAAGATCAGCCGAACGGCTAGTTATATAACATTAACCTGAATCCGAAGTGGGAACGGATTGGTACATACACAAAACGACAAAGCCAACTTAATAACTGGGCCTCAATGGCACAACGTATATACTGGATATTTCAACAGGCCCGATCACCTCTTAAAGGTCACTACATCTGTTTTGAGTACAATTTATTTGTTTTTGGTCAAAGACACATATTCCATTTTAGCCCAAAACAGAGTCAACATGGATCTATTGTTTGATTGAGCCCATCACCAATCAGAGCCTTGTACACTACAGATCGTAAGCTTCCCTAAGGCTGGAATGACTGTGGCCTACAAAGCACAGAATTCAAGAATTTTAGGATAAATCACTTGTGCGACTTTTTGATAGTTTTTTTTTTTTTTGGGTGAATGGGCAATGTCCAAAATAAAACAAAAAGAATTACATCAAAGAGTGTCTAGCCCTATGAACAGAGCTAAAATCAGAAAAATATAACTACAGAATTTCAGGTGGGGGATCCTGAAAGCTAGAGAAATCTTGTTGCTCCAAATTTTGCAAAGGCAGATTAGTTAGCCAGTCTGCACAGCAATTGTCTTCCCTGTATGTATGCACCAAACGAACACTCCAGTCTTTTGAGAGTCATTCCCGTATCCGAGTCACTAAATACGACTCACAGGATGCATCACCAGACTTGGTGAGCAAAGTGATAGCCGAAGCTGAGTCACTCTCTAAAATTAATTTCCTCCAACCTCCAATCCTAGCCATTTCTAACCCTTTCAGAACACCCCACAATTCAGCTGTAAGTGCATTACAAAAGCCCACTCTGTAGAAAAAAGCTTATATCCATCTACCATTAGGACCTCTTAATAGGCCACCACAGGCTACAATACCCGGGTTAAATCACAATTTTAGCTGTTGTGATTTTAGCTGCAATACACGACTAACTTTCTAAACTTTGCTTTGATTTTGTGACTTTTTGATAGTTATTAGATGCTTATACAATTTTTTTAAGGAGATTATATTTACAACATCTTTTTATTTATAACATTTTAAAACTAAATCTTAACCGTTAATTTCTGTCAATTTGATAGTTATAATTTGTTAAAAATTAATAATTAATTATAAATGTGACAACTAAATTATAACCGTCAAATTAGTGAATATTAACAGTTAAGATTTGATTGTAAAAAGTTGTAAGTGAAAAGAGGTTATAAATATAATTTTTCTCTTTTTATTAATAGAAAAATAACCATGAATATAATGTAAAAAATTGTACATGAATTTGTAGATAGATCCAATGCCCTTTTCTCTCATTATTTTTTTGCCTATGCACATCAAGAAATCTAATCGAAGGAATAAGGTGACGGTGAATCAGGTGTTCGGAATTAATTAGGTTTATTAATAAGAAGTTTGATACAGAAAAGATGCATTTTTTCATTGCCAAACGAATGGGTTGATTCGTCAAACATGTATCCTTTAAATTGTGACACTACATTTTCTATAAATATATAGAGAATCATAATTTTAAGAGTTTTTCTCTATTAGTTTTGTATATTCTTTGTATTTACATTCTTCTACTCTAATGTGATTGGTCAGATATATGTTGAGTTCGATAAGGCTATTTAATGTGAAAGTGCTACCATAAGAATAGAGGTAATTTATTCTATCATAGGAGATAATTGTCCACGAATCTTGGGCACCATAGAAAGGGCAAAATTGTCGTAAGGACACAGTGCCAAACACTGAGCTCGGATTTTCCCTTGTTGCATTCTTATTTTCGTACGATACGGTTTAACTTTGTGTCATTGCATGTTTCAATTTCTAGTATGTATTTCATGGAATTATGAATATTGTCGAAATGATTTCTTTAACACAGATTATCCCCTTTCGGTGATTTTAACCTTATTATGGGACATAATGATCTTATCATTGATATTTTCGATCTTATGGCTGGTCACCATATTCTTTTATGAGTGAATAAGAAAAACTAATTAGATTAAAATAAATAAAAAATTTATACATAAAGAAAAAAACTAATTAGAGTGCTTGGGTGTGCTAGGTTTATAAATAAAACATCAAACATCTTTTACTATTATATAAGGGGAAAGATCCGTTTATAAACTTTTTTTATACATTTTTGCAAATTACACTATGTATATGTACTCTCGTAAGTACATAGTGTAATCTAGTGTACTTCCGGGAGTACATAGTGTAGTTTGTAAACAAAAAATTTGTACATATAACCTTTTCCATTATATAATATTAAATTTTCTTTATTTAGAGATTATTTGAATAAGAGGAGCATTCGGTACTAGAAAAATACATTAGGTTTACTAAAAAAAAGATTTAAAATTAAAAAAATCTTCAATGACATAAAAACAATAACCATATCAAGGTACAAGGATGCATATAGCAAGTATACAAATAAGAAATATTCCATATATAAGATATAGCATCTATTAATATTGTGTAAAAAAGGTATAAGAAATGGTATATAGAACCATGTGAGAGCTACCTTTTCTCCCCCAATATTTTTGGCTGGATGAAAGTCAACTAAATTGAATTGAAGGAGGAAGGCAATGGTGGCATAGGGGTGGGATGGGGACTTCAACCGAACCTTCTAGCATTTGCATGACCTTCCTCATTGTTGGCCTCATTTCATGATGCTCTTGAATGCACCAAATTGCTATCTTCACCCACTTTTGTAACCTGCCAATGTCAGCCAACGTCTCATTATATAGAGTGCTTGAGTGTACGTGTTAGATCTATAAATAAAACACCAAACATCTTTTACTATTATATAATATTGAATTTTCTTTGTTTAGAGATTCTTTGAACAAGAGAAACATTCCGTACTAGAAAAATACATTAGGTTTACTAAAAGAGCACACTACTTAGAGGAGTGGTGGTAATTGTCCTGCATCACCAAATTTGCTTCCTCTATAACATGATTTCAAATAACAAAGCATCTTGAATGACATAGGAAAAATAACCATATCTAGTTACAAGGATTGGGCTTCAACGGTTCAGATACAATATAAGATTTATTAGTCTTATATCGGTGTAAAATGATCGGGATCCACACACACATAAGAAGTATACAAATAAGAAATATTTCATGACATAAAGCAACTATGAATATTGTGTAAAAAAGGTATAAGAAATGGTATATAGAACCGTACCAGGGCTACCTTTTCTCCCTAATTGGATGGCAGTCAACTAAATTGAATTGAAGGAGGAAGGCAATGGTGGTTTAGGGACTTCAACCGAACCTTGGAGCATTTGCATGACCTTTCCCATTGTTGGCCTCATTTCATGATGCTCTTGAATGCACCAGATTGCTATCTTTATCCAACTCTGTAACCTGCCAATGTCAGCCAACGCCTCGGGATCGTTCTCCACCAGAACATCTATTCTCTTTTCAATATAGCAATCATAAGCCCAATCTATCAATATTGCACTCTCCTCCTCCCCGGACTCTGTTAGTTGCACACTTTTTCTGCAGCAAATGATTTCCAATAACATGACACCAAAGCTGTAAACATCCACTTTAACCGTTACAGGAACATTCTTGAACCATTCAGGAGCCACATATCCTCGAGTTCCTCGAATCATGGTATTGGTTCTACTTTGGTCAGACAACAACAACTTGGCCAACCCAAAGTCAGAGATCTTTGCAGTGAAATGCTCATCTATGAGTATATTTTGAGGTTTTATATCACAATGAATGATGGGAGTGTCACACTCTTCGTGTAAGTACACCAACCCTCTTGCAATATCCAAAGCAAACCTAACCCTTAGATTCCAAATGGGATTGGCTTGTCCAAACAGGATATCTGCAAGAGTACCATTGCTCATGAACTCATAGACAATAAGCCTATGGATTCCCTCGTCACAAAATCCAATCAACCTTACCAGATTTTTGTGGCAGGTTTTACCAATAGCACTTAACTCAGTCTTAAATTCCTTCTCTCGTTCTTGTGCCAATCTGTCCAATTTCTTGACGGCAACCACATCACAAGACGCTGCTTCAACTTTGCCTTTGTAAACAATGCCAAAGGAACCCCTGCCTAGTTCTTCCTTAAAGCCCCACGTGGCTACTTTCAGTGCTTCATAAGTAAATGAATGTAAATTTGTTTCCAAAAGACTTGAAGCTTGGACAATCCTTTTTGGCTTCAAGAGAAGAATCAAAACAACAGTTGCAAGGAGTATACTGTTAAGAACAAGGGAGCCAATAAGTGACCCTCGAAGAATTGGCTTAGCTCGATCTTCATTGTTTGAATCAGGACCAGTGGGAAGTTCCTGTTTTGCACCAGGATCTAATTTGCTCAGAGGAGTAATTCTTGTTTTGATAAAGACCAATTGATTGCCTGCATCCACTCTTCCATTAATAAGGGGTAATCTTTTCTTCCAACAAGTGCTACCGCCTAAAATGGCAACAGCACACATGCAATCGTGCAAGCAAGATTGTTTGCACTCATCTTGAGTATAAGGTTCTATCCTTTCATAATCTCCAAAAGGAAAATTCATGCCTATTGATATGGGCAAGTCATATAGTTCTTCAGGCCGTGCTTGCAACCCTTCAACATCGGCTCCACAAACGAGGGTGAAATTGGGTTGGCACCCACCAAATGCATTATTTGGATCTACCAATGAATACCCATATGGGCATTTGCAAGTAGGCCTCTGATTTTCCATGGAGCAAATGCTATTATACCAACAGGTACCACTACCCATTTCATTGTTTATTGAATTGCATATGTTGCTAGGAACATACCTCAAAATTGACCAACCTTGTTGGGCACTGGAGTTCCTTGAATGAGCATACTGCGTGAAAACTCCATGGAAGTCAAGTGTTGCTCTGTAGTAATTCTCCTTAGGATCAAGAGTTAAGTCAACCCATTTTGGACTTTGAGGTTGGAATCTAGTTCCATTCGTTGTCTCTGCATAAATATTCCCAGATTCATCGAACACTAATTGTGAAGCAGAGGCAGCAGCATCAATTTTATAATAAGGGTCGTAACGAAATTCTGAAGGCCAAGAAAGGGGTTTCAGAAAAACATCACCATTTTGAAAATAAAGTTGGAACCTTCCTCTTGTGTAATTGGTCTCTGTGAATCGACAAGTTAGCTTGCCATCTGTCTCCAGAGATTGGTTAGGCAACAACGTGTCTGTGGGATTCTTGAAACTTTCCCACACACTAGTAGAATTGTTGTTTAAGAGAACAAAGTTGCCAGTGTCAAGCATAGTTCCATTCGAAACAACGGCGTTTGGTTGTGCCGTCCATATGGATTCCCCGTTAGGATTTGTGAGAGTTAGTCCTTGTGATGTGAGCTGAACCTGTGACCCTGTTGGTGCTTTTACAACGTTATTATCATCTGCTGCTTTTGCATTCCAAACAACGGTCATGTCGGGAATTTTGTTATACCAAATGGCAACCATGAAGAGACTCGTGCTTGTGTCGTTAAGTGGACGAAACCCGAAAGCAAAATCACCCAAAGGTGAAAGCCATGCATCATTGTCATTGGTGGTAAGTGTTGAATTCAAGTTAACGTTAGCAACAACTAACAAAACTTGAAGAAAGACAAGTGTGAGGATAAGAAGTGTCAGTGCAGCCATGCCTGGATTCCTTGAGGAACGCTGCTGCTGCTGCTCAAGTTTGGGAAATGGCTTTACACATATATTTTAATAACAATAAGAAGATGAATGGAGATCATCATTGACTATAATGTCTATTTCTATTTGTTAAATAGTGGCTTAAAGAAGCCTGAACGCGTCATTGACTACTTCAAAGTCAAATATGAGGACTATTCAAACTTGAATTATATATCAAGAACGGTGGAATTTTTTATTTATTTTTTTTTAAAAAAATACGTATGTAATAAACAATAAGTTTCGGGAAGAATATTCTCTTGGATATTGTTTAGACTTTTGAAACATGGAAGAATTTCTATAATCTCTTAATTTCAATTTTTTTAATTTATTTAAAACAATGTCTGTATCAGGACACTGATAGTTATCCAACATATTAAGAACACCATCCATCCTGGATCCGAAGTTGGCAAACGGAATAGTTTATAAAGCCCACTTAACAATTTGGCCTCAATGGAACAGAGTACATTTATCAGGCTTTGCTGTCTTTGGGTCACCATATTAGTTTTGAGTACAATTCTCTATTATTTTTTGGTCTAACATATTCATCAAAAAATTTGATGACACACATTTCCATCGAAATTTTTTGACGGAAAAAAATTTCATCAAATTTTTTTACGGCATTCAAATTTTGATGAAAACATTTTCGTTAAACTTTTTGACAAAAAAAAATTTCGTCAAATTTTTTAGCGAAACACATTTCCATCGAAAGTTTTCAACTAAATATTTTCGTTAAATTTTGACGAAAAACATTTTTATCGAAATTTTTTGACGGAAAAAAATTTCATCAAAATTCTTTATAGAATTCAAATTTCGGCGAAAGTTTTCGACGGAAACATTTTCTTTAAACTTTTTGTCAAAAAAAAAATTTCGTCGAAATTTTTAGCGAAACACATTTCCATCGAAAGTTTTCGACTAAATATTTTCGTCAAATTTTTTGATAAAAAACATTTCCATCAAAATTTTCAACGGAACACATTTCTGTCAAAAAATTTCGTAAAAATTTTTGACAAAAAATATTTCGATAAAAAATTTTGATGGAAAAAATATTCTGTCAAAATTCTTTAGAGAATCTAAATTTCGTCAAAAGTTTCGAATGAAACATTTACCTCAAAACAATTTTCGTCAGAACACATTCCTATCGAAATTTTGAACGAAAAACATTCCGTCAAAATTTTTGATGGAATTCTTTTTTCGTTTAAAACATTTGATGGAGGAAATCATTTTCGTCAAAACTTTTGACGGAAACTAAATTTCGATAGACAACTTATTTTTGTAAAAGTTTTCATAAGAGAAAAAATTTCATCGCTTTTCGACAAAAAGTATTCCGACGAAAAATAATTTTTTGACAAAATTTTCGTCATTTGCAACGTAAAAATTTTGACGAAATTTTGTGAAGAAACCAAGTCAAAAACGGGTCAGGTCGGATTTGACCCACTTCAGAAACTAAGTCAGACCCACTTCAGAAACCAAGTCAGGTCAAATCCGACCCGGTTCTGAACTAGTTCAAAAAATCCAAACCAAGTCAGACCTGACTTGGATCAAATTAAAGCGGGTCAGGTCAAAATACCTGACCTATAAAAACCAAGTTGGATCGAGTCGGCACAAAAACCTGATCCGACCTGACCCATGCACAGACCTAATTTTCACTTTCATGGAAAATCTTCAACTCACAAGCTTTTCAAAAGAATAATTTTATATGAATATGATCACAATTTAAATAATATGAACGAAAATCTCCTTATATTTCATTGAAGGAAATTACACACAATTAACTAATAGTTTCTTTGAATTTAATTTTATGAATATAAACAACGCAAGACTAATTTTTCTAATTTGATATTTGAGAGCAAAGAAGGTTTAAAACAGCAAACATATACGAAGAAGCCCAACATAGAAGTACCCTCACATCAAAATATGACACCTAACACCGTAAGGGTGTGTTTGGTACAAGAGAAATTTTTTGGTGACCGGGAATCATGATTAATGGGAATACAGTAGAAATTGAGTTTACTTGGAATCTTACGAAAGAGGTGTTTGGTTTGCCAAAATATTACCGGGAATATTGGGTAAAAATTACTGATTCCATATTTGGTTTAGAACGAAATATGACTTGGAATATGAGGTTATTTTACAAAAATAACCCCAAACTATTTTTACTTTTGTAATTGATAGATTGGGTCTAGATTTTTATGTGTATTGGGACATTTTTGTCTCAAAATTTATTGTTGTGCTTTCCCTTTACTTGATATTCTGATTAGTATTCCGAATTACCATATTATTTTTGGTAATCTGAATATTGACTTTTCTTTATAAATCAAATTACCGGTAATCCTTGAATATCCGGGAATCGTAATTTATTCCTTCTACCAAACGTGGTAATTACATTTACCAAAGAAGGATTACCGGTAATCCTCTTCAAAAACTTGAAACAAACACCCCCTAAGGATTGACCCAATAGGAATTTCCCAGTCCATATTTAAGCCGTATACAAATACTTATAATAATATGTATAAATAAGAAATAATATTATTTTATGTTAAAAGGAGATAAAATTATTTCATATAAATTTTAAAATGACGTATTTTAAAAAATTTATTTCTTTCTTCCAACATAAATTTTCAAAAACCGAATTTTAAAAAAAATATATAAAACAATATTTTTTAGAATAAAAAAGATAACTCCATCTGTGATATAACGAGAGAATCACTAAACTCATACAATTTTTAATAAGTAATTAATATATTTTTATGTATTACAATTCTAATGGATAGAATGTGTAACACTAGCCACGTGTTATGTGTCAAATAGTTTGTCAATCACTAAACTCATAATAAGAAGGCTAAGTTACGTATAAATTTTAAATTTTGATTTGGACCTAATTTAAGGCGAAAATATAAATATAAAATTTTTTGGGTTAAAAGTGCAAATATGCTAAAGTTGCATAGCCTTAAAATTTAATTGGATAAGTATTATATCCGACTTGAATCATGACCTTTATGAAATTACAAGTGTGTGCTTCAAGTTTTTAATTGATGAAGAGAGAATTTTTAATTTTTTTGTTATGGAAAGCAAAATTAAAACCACTCTAGTTCTTTGATAGAACATTCAGGGCTCTTTTTTATGAATGTTACATTTGCTTAAAATAAAAACACTATAATTTACCCAACTCCAATCATACTTATTATCTTAACAACTTTGAGTGAGTGTATTTGTACTGTAGTGCATGTAGTGTGATGTTCAATCCAGGAGGAAGATTGATATTTTGTTATTGGTAGGGATCACCACATCCGAATCAATGTCGGCCTAGGTGATTAAGGAGATAAAATCATCACAGAGAATGATGGAGCAAAGGGAGAGTATATACAAGTAGGGCATCGATGCTCAGAGCAAAAGGTACTATGTTTGATTTTAAAGTTGTTGAAAATTTATATTTATTTTTCAGTGATGGTTCCCAAATTGGGACATTACTTGAGAGGTGGGATAAGAGCGTCCAGCGAGGAGGGAGGCCACATTTATTTTTGAGCAGAATTCGTCCCGTTTGGCAGCCCGTGTTGTGTGTTCCAACTAGGGGTGCTAAACGAGTCAGGGGCCTTACAATTAAATTTATATATGTATAATGGGCTTATCGTTTCTCAAGCTGCTTGAGATAATTTTATCTCCGGCTACTAAATCATAACCGTACAAAGATTGATCAATGGTGATAAAGGAAGAGAGAGAAAAAGAAAATCATAATCATTCAAAGGCGAATCAATTAATATAAGAAAATAAATAAATGAAACGACGTAGTTTTTGAGTGACCAGAGATAAACTTATCTCAAACTGCTTGAGAAATGTTTTTCCCATATATATATATATATATATAACAAATGTTAAACAAGTGGATCAAGATTTTAATCCACTCTTCCTTGAAACTTGAAAATGGCCCAATGACCCGCCCTCCTCTCCTATGTTTTTAAATTTCTCATGAGCCACCGTACAACTATACAAACAACTAATGTTGGATAACTTACATAAAAAATTTACCTAAATGATGTGTGTTTTGGAGGACTGCATTGAGCAGTCTAACACCCTATTTTTTATTTTTTTTTATAACATTAAGGGGCGAAGCCCCAAACAAAAACATCCTATTTTATTATTGGACAAAATGATTTTATCACTCATATTTTCAATCTCGTAGCGTTATAAGGGTCCACGTACTTTTATATGTATGTAGAAGATAATTTTATTTCTTATAATATGAGAAGTATTAATTTGGATTATCTATTTTTATTTGTTATTAAATATTTTATTTTAGATTTAAATAAAAATAACTAATCAGAGTACTTGAGTGTGCTAGACTGCTAGGTCTATAAATAAAACATCAAACATCTTTTAATATTATATAGGGATAGGATATTGTGACACCCAAGTTATGTTACACCCATGTGACACCCAGTCAATCTCACCGTTAGATCGCTTATGTTGATCCAACGGTTATATTTATTTCTATCTTTGTATGGTCATGATTTCCTAAATTTAAAGTGAAAGCATTAAATATGGGAAATCATAACCATACAAAGATAGAAATAAATATAAAATATTAAATTTGGGAAATCATGACCATACAAAGATGGAAATAAATATAACCGTTGGATCAACATAAGCGATCTAACGGTGAGATTGACTGAGTGTCACATGGGTGTAACATAACTTGGGTGTCACAATATCCTATTCCTATTATATAATACTGAATTTTCTTTGTTTAGAGATTATTTGAATAAGAGAAGCATTCTGCACTAGAAATTTATATTAAGTTTACTAAAAGAGCACATTGCTGAGAGGAGTAGTGGTGAATTTACATCACCAAATTCGCTTCCTCCATAAAATTATTTCAAATTAAAAAACATCTTCAATGACATAGAAACAATAACCATGTCAGGGTACAAGGATATATATAGCAAGTATACAAATAAGAAATATCCCAT